TTCAGCTCCATCTGGAGCAACCCGAAGATGACGCATCAACCACCGTAGTTGCACTAGAGGGGATCTGTAGTACCGGTTATTATAGCTCTCCCCTCCCCGATACAGTTACGACTGCCGATGTTCTCTTACATTTTTTTAGTATAAGACATAAAAAAAAAAAAAAAAAAAGACGTGGGGGGACCGGCGGGGGTCCCTATCTAGCGCGGCGGGCCCGCGGGGGCCGTTCTAGGTCGTGACGGGTGACGGGCGGGGCTAGCGGGCTGACAGGTGACGCGCGGGGCTAGCGACCTGACGGGATCGACGGGTAGGGCGCTACGGGTGACTAGGCGCTACGGGTGACGAGGCGCTACGGGTGACGAGGCGCTACAGGCTAGGTCGGGGTACGGGGCGGTGGGCCCATAGGATCTTATCGCTCTATACCATACCAAAGTAATAACTGGTGAATGAATGACTCAACAATGGCATACACGGGTTGATATAGAGCCAACCCTAGCCAACCCTAAACACAAATGTACACCACCTAGACTATCAAACACAAACTATAGCAATGATAGTTTGACAGGATCTGCGGCGACCTCGACCACCTCTCCTTCAAATGTCCCATAACGACGACAGCGACGAGGATGACAACAAGGGAGTCGTCGTCCACGTCGAGATGAGAAGCCGCGCATGGAGAAACATGCGTCGAAGAAGACGTCATCGACGAAGGGCGTCGACTCCTGCAAGGGCCGAGGAGACAGGGAAGCGTTGTGCTCGATGGTCGGCCTGGTGGAGCCGACTCTCTCGCTTGCGCCGGAAGCAGGAGAGGACTTCAAGGCGGACGCAGCCGCCGTGCAAGCGAATCTGATGGTGGTGCTGCTTGACAGCGGCTGCTCACACCACCTAGTGGGGACAAGGAGGTCTTCGTCGACATGGCGCCGAGCGGTGATGTGAAGCATGTCCGCGGCTTAAACGGGGCTTTGCAGACCGTCGAGGGTTGCGGCACTGTCGCTCTGCAAGGAGAGGCCATGAAGCAGGTCCTCATCCCCGAAGTGCTCTATGTCTGGAGCGTGTAGGCGAACATGCTGTCAGCCGGCCAGCTGCATGAGAGCGGTGTGAAGCTGCACGACGATGGTGACGAGATGCTGCTCGTGTCGAGTGCATGCAAGGTACTCGGTTGAGCACGCTACACTGGCTGCGTCCTCTGCACCGACCTTCGCCCGTGCTCGACGCGGTCGTCGACCGAGGTGGTGGCTCTGCGGACGATCGCTTCAGCGACGAAGTCGACCCCCGACAGGTGGCACGCGAGGCTCGCGCACGTCGGCGTCGACACGATCAAGAGTTCGGCGATGCACAAAGTCGCCACCGGCCTCAACATGAAACCGTCGACCGGAGCTGACTTGCCGTGTGTCTCGTGCGTCTGCGGGAAGCTGGCGCGGCACACCTTCCCCGACAATGGCTCGGACGCTGAGGAGGCCTTGGCTATCGTGAACATTGACTTGTGCGGCCCGTTCCGGGTGACTGCCAAGGATGGCAGCCTGTATTTTCTCCTGCTGAAGGACCGCCACAAAGAAGAGCGACGTTCTGAGGGTGTTCGAGAAGTGGCTGCTTGTGGCGGAGCAGCAGGCGAATAAGTCGATGCTGGTGCTCCACTCCGACTGCGGTAGCGAGTTCCTGGGGAAGGAGTTCACTAACTTCGTCGATGGGAAGGGCATCGTCCACGACTTCACCTGCCCTTACACCCCGCCGCAGAACGGCATGGCAAAGTGGGAGATGCCCACCGTCGTCGAGGCTGTGCGAACGATGCTGCTGCACATGGGCGTGCAGCACCACCGGTGGCACCTCGCCCTGCGGCAGGCTGTCTGGGTGCGCAATTGCTTCGAGCGGTCGACAACGCCACTGCGACGACACCGTTCCAGCTGCGGACCGGCAAGAAGCCCGACCTCACGCTGGCGCATGTGTGGGGCTGCATAGTACAGTTCATGGTCCCCGAGCAGCAGCGCAGTGGGAAGCTGGCACCAAAAGCTCGCTGGGGGCTTCACCTCGGAGTGTCGCCGGAGAGCAAGGGCTGGGAGGTGCTCGACTTGATTGACTACAAAGTGGTCACGTCGATCGAGGTCATCTTCTACGAGACGATGTCGCTGGAGGTGCGGAAGCTGAAATATGGGCCGGCGTCGGGGCGGACGCAGGCACACCCGCCAACAGACACCTCGACAGCGACGTTCCCGCTGCTCGAGGAAGTCGACGAGCCTGCTGGTGAGGACGTCGAGGAAGTCCAGCCCTCTCCTCCTCCCAATGTTCCCGCTTCTCCACCCATTGTCGACCTACCTGCGCCAACACCGTCGTCGGCCATTGGCGATGAGGGGAGCCTTGAGGCGTCACCCGTGGCGCCGGCCAGTGGCATCGCCGGCGGCCGATGTCACGCCAAGCTCGTCGATGAGGGCATGAAGCCGTCGACGACAGGGGAGCGTCAGACAGGGGAGCTGGTGGCGAAGGAGGCAGCAGCTGAAGTGCCGCCGACAGGGGCGCGGCAGGCGGAGAAGTCGACAGGGGAGCTGTCGACGAGAGAGAAGTCGGCAAGCGGGCCGACGAGAGGAGAGCAGCCGGTCGAAGGGCCACTGCTAGCGAAGCAGCTCGTCGACGACGAGGATGTCGACGATGAAGGAGAGCTGTCAGCAGGAGAGGAATCTACCGACAGCGACGTGGTGGAGGTTCCGGTTGAGAAGCCGGAGCTGCGACGCTCGGGCCGAAGTCCGAAGCTGCCAGAGAGGCTGAGCTTCCACGCCTGTCTACCACCAGCCGCCTTCACTACCGTGCTCGACGACTCTGAGGCCAACGTCGACCTGCCCGAGCTCGACCCCGACGTGCACGCCGACCCCGATCACCGCTGGGACATCGAGACGATGACGGTGAAAGAGGCGTTGGCGAGCTGGAAGGGCAAGGCGGTGAAGACCGCCATGGACGAGGAGATCCGCAACCTCATCGAAGGGCTTTACGAAGGTGTACGGCGCCAACTACGACGAGACGTACGCGTCAGTTGGGAGCTACGTCACGCTGAGGATCTTCCTCAGCATCGTCGCCGTCCTCGACTTGCACCTGATGCAGCTCGACATGAAGAACGCCTTCTTGCAGGGTAAGCTCGACAGGGTGGTGTACAAAAACCAGCCGGACTACTACGACGATGGGACCGGCCGGGTGTGCAAACAGTTGAAGAGCATGTACGGGCTGAAGCAGTCGCCGCTGCCGTGGTACAAGGCGCTCGACGTCGTGCTGTCTGGCGCCGACTGGAAGAAGAGCCAGGTCGACGAGGCATTGTACTTCAAGGTCGGCGATGGCGGAGTGACCTGTTGGGTGCTGATCTACGTCGACGACCTGCTCGCCGCCAGCAGCAGCCTCGCGATGCTGAAGGAGCTGAAGGAGCTGCTGGAGACCGCCTTCGAGTTGCACGAGATTTTGCCGGAGGAGAAGTACCTCGGGCTGGAGATCGTGCGCGACAGGCCGGCGAGGAAGCTGTGGCTCCACCAGCAGACTTACGTCGACAAGCTGCGTCGGCTCTTCATCGACGAGGAGCAAGGCGGTCGGATCCCGAAGACGCCGGTCTCCGCCGACGCCTACGCCGAGCTGACGTTTGACAACGAGGATGCTCAGGCGCGGAGGAGGAGTACAGGCAGAAGGTCAGCTCGCTATAGTTCGCGGCGACGACGACAAGGCCTGACATCGCCTTCGCGTGCAGCAAGTCGGGGAGCAACTTGGCAGTGAAGAGCGACCAGCACTGGCTGGAGGTCGACCACTGCCTCGCCTACCTCTCCGACACCCTTGACACTGCCCAGGCATTCGGCTGTGCACCAGAGTCGCTGTGTCTGGTCGGCTACGTGGACGCTGACGACACTGGCGACAAGCAGAAACGGACGAGCACGGGCGGTTACGTGTGTTACAATATAGATTATGAAATGAATAACTAGAAAGGGAAGATACAACAAGTATATATGAAACCTAACCCTAACCCTAGTAAACAGAAAGTGACACCTAGACTAGACAAAACACAACATATAAAATATATGTTGACACACCCCCATAGTCTAGGTGGCGGTAGTCCTGTGGAAAGCAACACATATCGTAGGGTGGGACTGAACACACAGTCGGAGAGCAAAGGTCACAGGACCAGTCAGCAAGAACAAGCAACGGTCACAAGACTAGTTCACAGGAACAAAGCAACTCTCGTGGTGGATCTCAAGATCACCACACAGTCCAAAGACAAGCAAGAGGCCACAAGGCCAGTCCACACGCAAGTACAGAGCAAATATAAAAGATGCAAGAGTGCAAGACAAGCATGGCAAGCATATCTACGGGAGCAAGGGGCCACAAGACCAGTCCACAAGCAGATATATAGAAAATATAGTGAGATGCAAGAGTACAAGGCGAAGCATCTCTACGCAAGCAAGTGAGGCCCTGTAGAGACAAGGTCCAGCTGGGTGTAGAAACGCTGGCGGTCAGAAGGCGGCAAAGCCTTGGTGAATATATCTACAGTGTTGGCCTCAGAGACCACACGTCGCACGCGTGCCTGGCCACGCTGCTGCAACTCTCGCAGAAGGAAGTATCGGAGCTGGATGTGTCAAAGTACTAGCGTACGGTTTAGGGCCTAGGCTTAGGAGCCTAGGCCAACGTATGTCGAGAGAGTTCGTGCCAAGCGAAAGTGAGAATGGTTTAGCTTCACTATAGGTTGAGGGAACATATAGCAAAGAACAAACGGGTGCACCACCAAGCAAACAATCAGATAACTATACTACAGTAACTACAGCAAGCAGGATACATTAAATATAACTTTAACACCCCCCCTTAGCCTGCTTGCAGTAATAACTAGTGCAGTCAACACCCTCTGAAGGGGTACACCTGGCGCAGTGGATGACGGCAGAGAGTTAAATGAGGAGGAGGAGGCGAGAGGGAGAGAGGAGAGGAGAGGGGAGAAGTACCAAGGAGGAGGTGAGAGAGGGATGAGGCGAGGAGCTGAGGGGGAGCCACCCATGGCGAAACCCTCGTAGTAACCCTCTTTTACAAAGGGGGTAGGTGAGAGAGTGACAAGGAGAGGAGGTGGGGGGGAGCCAAGCATGGCGAAACCCCTCTTAGTAACCCCCAAATCCCCACACCCATTCAACCACCCCCCCTTAAGCTCACCCCCCATAACAGCCGCCCCCTTGGACCGCACCCCCCCCCCCCCCCTTCCTTCCTCCACACCCCTGCCCCACCCACGGTAGTCCCTGCAGCGGGGTCTCTGCTGGCGGTGTAGCTGCTGGCGGGGTCTCTGCTAGCGGGGGTCTCTGCTGGCGGGGTCTCTGCTGGCGGGGGTCTCTGCTGGCGGGGTCTCTGTTGGCGGGGTCTCTGCTGGCTTGGTCTCTGCTGGCGGGGTCTCTGCTGGCGGGGTCTCTGCTGGCGGGGTCTCTGCTGGCGGGGTCTTTGCTGGCGGGGTCTCTGCTGGCGGGGTCTCTGCTGGCGGGGTCTCTGCTGGCGGGGTCTCTGCTGGCGGGGGTCTCTGCTGGCGGGGTCTCTGCTGGCGGGGTCTCTGCTGGCGGGGGTCTCTGCTGGCGGGGTCTCTGCTGGCGGGGTCTCTGCTGCCGGGGTCTCTGCTGCCGGGGTCTGTGCTGGCGGGGTCTCTGCTGGCGGGGGTCTCTGCTGGCGGGGTCTCTGCTGGCCGGGTCTCTGCTGGCGGGGGTCTCTGCTGGCGGGGTCTCTGCTGGCGGGGTCTCTGCTGGCGGGGTCTCTGCTGGCGGGGTCTCTGCTGGCGGGGTCTCTGCTGGCGGGGGTCTCTGCTGGCGGGGTCTCTGCTGGCGGGGTCTCTGCTGGCGGGGTCTCTGCTGGCGGGGGTCTCTGCTGGCGGGGTCTCTGCTGGCGGGGTCTCTGCTGGCGGGGGTCTCTGCTGGCGGGGTCTCTGCTGGCGGTGAAGCTGGTGGTGGTGCCTGGAACTGGCGGCTGGCGCTGGTGCTGGTGCCTGGTGCTGGCGGCTGGCGCTGTCGTTGTAGCTGCTGGCGGTCCCGCCATGCTCTTCTTCCCTCACCCCCTCACAGCGACTGCCGCTGCACACGCGAATAGCCACGACGGGGGGGGGGGGGGGAGGGGGGGTGACGAGCAGGGGGTGGGGGCAACTGTCAAACATTATACATGTTCCTATTGTGTAGGCTATAGTGGGTTTAGCCTTAGGGGGTACAACATTGCTAGGGTTTCCTACTTGTATCACCGTGCTGCCTAGTTTCACACATTCTCGTTCAGTTCAACATTCTAACATGGTATCCGACGCCTAGGTCACGACCTAGGATCGACGTTGGTTAGGGCCCACCATTCCGCCGCGCCCTTGCGCGACCGTGTCTGATAGTACCTCGCGCCGTCGAGCGCCCTTCCTAGCGCCGTCGTGCGCCCTTCCTAGCGCCGTCGAGCGCCCTTCCTAGCGCCGTCGAGTGCCCTTCCTAGCGCCGTCGAGCGCCCCCCCCTCTTCTAGCGCCGTCGAGCGCCCTTACTAGCGCCGTCGTGCGCCCCTACCCGCGCCCTCGAGTGCCTACCTACTCGCGCTCTCGAGCGCCACCCTGCCGCCCTGCCCTGCAGGCCGCGCGCGGGCCTCCTCTGCACCCGCGCAACCGCCCCTGGACCCCGAGGCGCGGCCCCTGGACCCCGCGACGCGTCGCCCCCGCCTCGTCGCGGCGCTTCTGCGGGCCCACGCGCGTCGCCACAGCCTCGTCGCGACGCCCCCGCGCGGCCCGCGCGTCGCCACCGGGACCCGCGCGCGTCGCCCCTGCCTCATCGCGACGCCCCCGCGCGACCCGCGCGTCGCCACCGGGACCCGCGCGCGTCGCCCCTGCCTCGTCGCGACGCCCCCGCGAGACCCGCGCGTCGCCACTGGGACCCGCGCGGGGTCGCCTCTGCTCGCCGCGGCGCCCTGCCCTACCCCGCGCCCGCCCTTGGGACGGCCGCCCCTGGCCCCTGGACCAGCCGACACTGCAGCAGCCGCCCCTGGCCCCTGGACCAGCCGCACCTACAGCCGCCCATGGACCCTGGAGCAGCCGCCCCTGCAGCGGCCGCCCCTGGCCACCTGGAGCAGCCGCCACTGCAGGAGCCGCCCCTGGCCCCTGGAGCAGCTGCCGTCGCGGACCGGCCCCGCCCTACAGCTGTAGCGGCCCTGCTGTCGCCGCCGTCCAGCGCCTGCCCTTCCTACCACTGGTGAGCACTGCCCTGCTCGCACTGCTACCGCTGCTACTGCTACTACTGCTTTTACTGCTCCTGCTGCTACTGCTTTTACTGCTCCTGCTGCTACTGCTGTTACTGCCGCTACTGCTGCTACTGCTGCTCCTGGCGTGGCCAGATGCAGCTCCACGGCCGTCCGCGTGTGTCCCTCACGCCCCAGCAGCTTCGTGAGTGGTACGCCAGTTGGGGTTGTCGGGGTGGCCGTAGTGGGAGTCGTCCTGGAGTGGGTAGTTCGGGAACTTCTTGTAGTGGCCCGGTACAGCAGCAGAGTCGTCCGCGCGAGTCTCTTTCGCCCCAGCAGCTTCGTGAGTGGTACGCTCAGAGTAGAGGGTCGCTGAGTACTGCTCGCTGCCCGTACGTTATTAGCACGGGTGCCCGGACTGGTCAGCCTTGCAGGACGCGTGGTCACACAGAGTCCCACTGCTTCGCCCGTCTGAGTGACGCTTGGCGTACAGAGTTTGGCGACGACGCTGAGCTCCCCGACTGGGTGGAGCTGCTTGGACAGCGGGTAGATATCTTTGCTCTTGCCTATGATGCTATTCTCACTGCAATGTATGCATTGTCTACTAGTGCCGAGGGAGCCTGTCACCTGTGTGTGCCGCCTGACCCCGGTATCCAGTCTGCTGCTCTAGGTACTGGTGAGGCTACCGCACTAGGTGCTCGTGTGTCTGTTGCCTCTGGTGCTGGTGAGGCTGCCGCTCTAGGTGCTAGTGTGTCTGTTGCCCCAGGTGCTGGTGAGGCTGCTGCTCTAGGTACTCGTGAGTCTGCGCCCTCTGGTACTGCGTCTACTGAGGCACTGCACACCTTCACACTGGACTCAGGTGCTTCCCGCTGTTTCTTCCGTGACCGCACAGCCCTTGAGCAGCTTGCTCGGCCGGTTGCAGTCTCCCTCGCTGACCCCTCTGGGGGTCCGGTCATTGCGACCTCCTCCACTGTCCTCCCTTGTCCTGAGGTCCCGTCGGGCACACTGTCAGGTCTCTACCTCCCCTCGTTCTCTACGAACTTGGTGGCGGGTCGTGCGCTCCAGGACGGGGGTGTCCACCAGTTCACCCCTGCCTACGAGCGCGTGACACACTGCACGTGTGCTCGGACGGGTCGCCACCTGGCTACCTTCACTCGGCAGCCGGGGTCGGACCTGTACACACTGACCACTGAGTCCCCTCAGGTAGCTGCGTCTGCGTCTGCGTCAGGTCAGCTGTCTGCCCCTTGCTCGTGTCGCTCCTTGGCGCACGAGACCGTCCTCTGGCACCACCGCCTTGGTCACCCGTCAGTGCAGCGCCTTCGTGGCATGCACTCCCGGTACCTTGTCTCTGGTCTTCCCAGGGTTCTCCCTCCCCTCCCACCCTCGCCTGCTCCTCCCTGTCTTCCCTGTGTCGAGGGGCGGCAGCGCGCCGCTCCTCACTCCTCCTCGTTTCCCCCGACGACTGCTCCCCTGCAGACGCTCCACATGGACGTGTGGGGCCCAGCCCGCGTCCGTGGACAGGGTCACGAGAGGTACTTCTTGATAGTTGTTGACGACTTCTCGCGCTACACCACGGTCTTCCCCTTGCGCACCAAGGGTGAAGTCCCTGATGTTTTGATCCCTTGGATCCGCACTGCCCGTCTCCAGCTCAGCGAGAGGTTCCACTCGGACTTTCCTGTCCTGCGTCTGCACTCTGACAGAGGTGGGGAGTTTTCCTCCGACCTCTTGAGGGCCTTCTGTCAGGGGGAGGGCATTGAGCAGTCGTTCACGCTTCCGGCCTCTCCACAGCAGAATGGGGTTGCTGAGCGCCGCATTTGTTTGGTCATGGAGGTCGCTCGTACCTCCTTGATCCATGCGGCTGCCCCCCACTTTCTGTGGCCGTTTGCGGTCCGATACGCTGCGCATCAGCTCAACCTCTGGCCCCGTGTCTCCGTTCCGGAGACTTCGCCGACACTGCGTTGGACGGGAGAGGTTGGCGATGCGTCGCGTTTTCGGGTCTGGGGATCTCGAGCTTTTGTTCGCGATACGTCCGCGGACAAGCTCTCCTCCCGCGCTGTTCCTTGTGTCTTCCTTGGCTTTGTCCCGGACGCGTCTGGTTGGCAGTTTTACCACGCCACCTCGCGCCGTGTCCTGCCCTCTCAGGACGTCACTTTTGACGAGTCAGTGCCCTACTACCGCCTCTTCCCCTACCGCACTGCCCCGCTCCCCCCCCCGCCTCTCTTCCTCGCGCCAGGTGCTGCTGTGGTAGACCCCCTCCCCCCTCAGGGTGCCGCTCCCTCAGGTGTGTCCCAGGTAGACCCGGTTGAGCCTGTCGAGGTAGCTGTCGACTCTCGTCCTGCTAGGGGTGCTGAGCCTGAGCGTGCGGAGCCTGGGGGTGCGGAGCCTGGGGGTGTGGAGCCTGGGGTTGCGGAGTCTGGGGGTGCTGAGCCTGGGGGTACTGAGTCTGGGGGTGCTGAGTCTGGGGGTGCTGAGCCTGGGAGTGCTACGTCTGAGGGTACTGAGCCAGAGGGTGCTGCGACTGAGCGTGCTACACCTGGAGGCGCTCTCTCCTCACAGCAGCTGCGTGAGTGGTACTTACAGTACTGCAGCCTCAGGAGGGGTGCTTCTGGAGCTAGGGTTGCTGCTGGAGCTGGTGCTCGTGCTTCCCCTCCTAGGCGGGAGCCGCCCTCTCCCCAGCGGCTCCGAGAGTGGTACGCTCGGCGCTGCAGTCTCCGGAGTGGCGCTCCTAGTGTCGCGGACCCTGGTGCTGGAGCTGCTGGAGGTGCTGCTGCTGCTGGCGGTGCTGCTGGCGCTGCTGGAGGTGCTGCTGGTGCTGGTGCTGCTGGAGCTGCTGGAGGTGCTGCTGCTGCTGGCGGTGCTGCTGGCGCTGCTGGAGGTGCTGCTGGTGCTGGTGCTGCTGGAGCTGCTGGAGGTGCTGCTGCTGCTGGCGGTGCTGCTGGCGCTGCTGGAGGCGCTGCTGGTGCTGGTGCTGCTGGAGCTACTGGAGGTGCTGCTGGTGCTGGTGCTGCTGGAGCTGCTGGAGGTGCTGCTGCTGCTGGCGGTGCTGCTGGCGCTGCTGGAGGTGCTGCTGGTGCTGGTGCTGCTGGAGCTGCTGGAGGTGCTGCTGCCGCTGGCGGTGCTGCTGGCGCTGCTGGAGGTGCTGCTGGTGCTGGTGCTGCTGGAGCTGCTGGAGGTGCTGCTGGTGCTGGTGCTGCTGGAGCTGCTGGAGGTGCTGCTGGTGCTTGAGCTGCTGGAGGCACTGCTACTGCTGGCGGTGCTGCTGGAGCTGCTGGAGGTGCTGGTGCTGGAGCTGCTGGAGCCGCTGGTCCTGGAGGTGCTCGTACTGGAGGTACTGGAGCTGCTGGGACTGGAGCTGCTGAGGGGGTTGGAGCTGGAGGTGCTGAGCGGCCGCGGCCGTACTACGTTCCGCTCCTTCAGCAGGTTCTTGGTCTCCCGCCCTCTACTGGTCCTACTCCTCCCCTACTGAGTCGACCGCCTGTCCAGTCGCAGTCACATTTACAGCCTGCCTCTCCGCTGCCTGCTCCTTCTCCTTACACTGCGCCGTCGGGTAGTCTTGCGGAGCGTCGTGAGCCTGAGTCTCGTCCTCCGTCGCCTGAGTATAGTCCAGAGTCGCCTGAGTCGCGTCCAGAGTCGCCTGTCCGTGCTGTCCGCGCTGGTCGTCGTGCTCCGCGTCAGCGTCCTCCTCCTGTACTTGGCACTCACTATATGACTCTGTCGCGATATATACTTTATATATGCTTATAACTGCCTGTAGCTTTAGCTTTAGTGTAGTTATGCCTTCTTGTTGTTGGTGGTGCACCGTTGCTATTTTGCTATATGTACCTTGTGTGCTATAGTGAAACCAATCATTCTCGATTCTCCCTTGGCACAACTCCCTCGATACCCGCTTGGTCTAGGCTTCTAAGCCTAGGCCCTTAGTTAAACCCGGTTACCAGCTCAGATCGTATTGTAACATGGTATAGAGCGATTAAGTTCCTGACCTAAGTTAATGGGCCCACCCATTCGTGGCTCGGTGCTCGCTGCGACGGGCGCGGCGGCGAGCCGGCCGCGTTTCCCTCGTCGCCAGCCCGTCGTTTTTTTTTTCCCTCGTCGCCTGCCCGTCGCCAGCCCGTCGCGTTTTCCCCCGTCGCCAGCCCGTCGCGTTTCCCCCGTCGCCAGCCCGTCGCGTTTCCCCCGTCGCCAGGCCGTCGCGTTTCCCTCGTCGTCAGCCCGTCGCATTTCCCCACCGTCACCACCTCTGCCCGCGCCTACGCCTGCTACCGAGTTTGCGCGAGAGTGGGAAAGGGGGGGGGGGGGGGCGGCATCGGGAATGAAGGGGACGGCGACGGTGGCGGTCGTCGCGGCCCTTCCCCCCCCATCCCGTTTTCTTCCTTCCCGTCGCCTCGCTCCGCCCGTCGCATTCCCCCGCCCCCCCTGCTCGTCACCCCCCCCCCCGTCGCGACTGTTCGCGTGTGCAGCGGCGGTCGCTGTGGGTGGGAGAGGGAGGAAGGGAAGGGATTGGCGGCGGAACGCTGTGGGGGGGAGAGGGAAAGGGGGAAGGGAGTGGCGGCGGAACAGCACCAGCGCCAGCCACCAGCACCAGCACCGACGCCAGTCACCAGCGCCAGCACCGGAACCAGCGCCGTCACGCCAGCACCAGGGCCAGCCGCCAGCACCCGCACCAGCACCAGGGCCAGCCGCCAGCACCAGCACCAGCACCAGGGCCAGCCGCCAGCACCAGCACCAGCTCCAGGGCCAGCCACCAGCACCAGCACCAGCACCAGGGCCAGCCGCCAGCACCAGCACCAGCACCAGGGCCAGCCGCCAGCACCAGCACCAGCTCCAGGGCCAGCCGCCAGCACCAGCACCAGCTCCAGGGCCAGCCGCCAGCACCAGCACCAGCTCCAGGGCCAGCCGCCAGCACCAGCACCAGCACCAGGGCCAGCCGCCAGCACCAGCACCAGCTCCAGGGCCAGCCGCCAGCACCAGCACCAGCTCCAGGGCCAGCCGCCAGGACGAGACCCCGCCAGCAGAGACCCCGCCAGCAGAGACCCCGCCAGCAGAGACCCCCGCCAGCAGAGACCCCGCCAGCAGCTACACCGCACGCAGAGACCCCGCCAGCAGCTACACCGCCAGCATAGACCCCACCAGCAGCATAGTACACCGGTCCCCCCTCCCTTCCGTGGCTTCCACAGTGGGGGGGGGGGGGAGATGAGGGGGTGGCGGGAGTGACCAGCAATACGTCACGCGCTGCCTCTCCTCCTTTCTCTCTCCCTGCAGGGCTTGTCGCTGTGGGAAAGGGGGGTGAGAGAGGTTGAGGGGGTGGCAGAGGCAAGTCGGGCATCTGCAGCCGCTGCCTGTAGCAGGCACGCCCCCGGAGGTGCTGAGCTGCGCTGTCCAGCTGCTCGTTGCAGCCACGGCGCCTGCTCTCACGCCCACCTGCCGGGTCCTGCACCTATCGCTGCTGCATCTGCCGTGGCTGAGGTCACTGTAGCTCCATCTGCCATCACTGCAACTGCTGCCTGTTGCAGGCACGCCCCCGGAGGTGCTGACCTGCGCTGTCCTGCTGCTCGTTGCGGCAGCGGCGCTTGCTCTCACGCCCACCTTTCGGGTCCTGCATCTGCCGTTGTTGCATTTCTCATGGCTGATATGTGTTGCTGTTTCCTTTGCTTCTTCTACCCCTCTGTGGCTTCCCAAGCTCCTATCGCATGCAGGTTACGGGGGTGTGACTCACTCTAGCTGTGTGCTGCAGGCAGTTAAGGGGGTGTGTCGCGATATATATTTTATATATGTTTATAACTGCCTGTAGCTTTAGCTTTAGTGTAGTTATGTTTCCTTGCAGTTGGTGGTGCACCTCTTGTTTGTGTTTCTCGACTATATGTTGTATGCTTTGCTTTTAGTGAAGCTAACTTCTTTGGTCAATCCTCTCGATTCTCCTTGGCCTTGACCCTCCACACCCGTTTGGCCTAGGCTACTAAGCCAAGGCCCTAGTTAAAACCGTAACCTAGTTAAGTCAGAGTTGTAACAGACTCTGCGTCCTTCCACTGCTCCACAGCGTGTCCCTCTGCCGTCTCCTCCTGCGTCCTCTTTTCCTGACGTTGCTGACCCGCCGTCAGACCTTGCTCGTGCTGCCAGTCCTACAGTCACGCGTCTTCTCGCTACTGTTGTCACTGACCCTTCCTTTGAGTCCACTACTGCGTCTGCTCTAGTTGCTGAGCTTGTTGACTTTGCTGCCGCCTGTCGTCTAGACTACGCCGCTAGCCTTGTTGCTGAGTTTGAGTCTGTCTGTCCTCCGTCCGTCGGGGGTGAGTGTGCTCTTGGCACGGACGTCCTTGAGGACAGACAGGAGGAGTTTGAGTGCTTTGCCGCTGCTTTACCTCATCTCGTGTCCATGCTGATTGCCCCTGAGGGAGACCCGGATGCACCAGACATCCCGACCCCACGCTCTTACGCAGAGGCGATGGAGGGTCTCTACTCCTCTCAGTGGCAGACAGCCATGGACGCAGAGATGGCTTCCTGGAAGTCCACAGGCACCTACGTCGACGAGGTTCCCCCACCTGGGGCGAACATCGTCAGTGGCATGTGGATTTTCAGGGTGAAGCGGCCGCCGGGTTCTCCGCCTGTCTTCAAGGCGCGTTACGTTGCACGAGGCTTCAGTCAGCGAGAGGGAGTTGACTTCTTCCAGACCTTCTCCCCGACCCCGAAGATGACCACTCTTCGGGTTCTGCTGCACGTCGCTGCTCAGCGTGACTACGAGCTCCACTCTCTTGACTTCAGCACTGCGTTCCTACAGGGCAGCCTGCACGAGGAGATCTGGCTGCGCCGCCCACCTGGCTTCACTGGGTCGTTCCCTCCTGGTACCCAGTGGAGCCTCCGGCGGCCAGTCTACGGTCTCCGCCAGGCACCCCGTGAGTGGCACGACACACTGAGGACTACTCTTGCTGCTCTTGGGTTTGCTCCTTCTACTGCTGACCCGTCGCTGTTTCTACGCACCGACACCACTCTGCCGCCGTTCTACGTTCTTGTGTACGTAGACGACTTGGTCTTTGCTACTGCTGACACTGAGGCACTCGCCCACGTGAAGTCGGAGCTGCAGAAGAGACACACGTGCACAGACCTGGGTGAGCTGACAAGCTATCTTGGCTTGCGGATCACCCGGGACAGAGCACAGCGCACCATCACCTTGACTCAGTCACACATGGTGCAGCAGGTCCTTCAGCGCTTCCGCTTCACGTACTCCTCGCCTCAGCCCACTCCTCTGCCTACCGGTCACTCGCTCTCAGCTCTGCCTTCGGATGAGTCCGTAGAGCCGAGTGGCCCGTATCCAGAGCTTGTGGGCTGCCTCATGTACCTGATGACCTGCACTCGACCTGACCTTGCATACCCTCTTAGCATCCTAGCACGCTATGTCGCTCCAGGCCGTCACCGGAAGGAGCACATGGATGCCGCTAAGAGGGTGTTGCGCTACTTGTGCAGTACGTCGGGCATGGGGCTTGTGCTTGGAGGACGGCGCGACGTTGTCCTCACTGGACACTAAGACGCTTCTTGGGCTGACGACCAGGCTACGCAGCGGTCGTCTCAGGGTTACACCTTCAGCCTTGGCTCTGGTTCAGTTTCTTGGCGTTCTACACGCTCGTCTTCAGTTCTCAGCTCCAGTTGTGAGGCTGAGATCTACGCCACAGCCATGGCTGCCCAGGAGCTACGCTGGCTCACCTACCTGCTGACCGACCTGGGAGAGCGGCCTCGTTCTCCTCCAGTGCTGTACGTCGACAACAAGGCCGCCATTGCCTTGTGTCAGGAGCACAGACTGGAGCACAGAACGAAGCACATCGCTCTGCGCTACTTCCTTGCTCGAGAGCTGCAGCAGCGTGGTCAGCTTCGTCTTACTTACGTGGCCACTCGGGCCAACACCGCTGATGTGTTCACCAAGGCGCTTCAGCCTTGTGACCATCAGCGTTTCTGTACTGTTCTAGGCCTTGTGCCTACTGTCCCTCACTTGCTCACTTCTTGACTCTGCTTGTACTGTGATCTCTATATATATAAATACCTGCATGCTTACACTTGCTAGGTTGTGATCACTGTACCTCTTGTTATTTTATCAAACTGCATGTGAACTGGTCTTGTGACCTCTTGCTTGTGCTCGGAATTTGTGTGGTTTCCTTGAGATCCACCCTGAGCTTTGCTTTGCTTTGCTTTGACTGGTCTTGTGACCATCTGGTTGTCTCCCACTTAGCCTATGGGGGTGT